TTTTAAATAATAAATAATATTAATTTTTTTAAAAAATATTAGTGTTATATAATTAAATAAAGGTTAAAAAATATTACTCGACAAATATTAATTATAACGGATATCGGTAAAATCATTGCATAAATTATTTAAGGAAAAAATCTTGAAGATCATATTTGGATAGTAAATGTAAATATACAAACATTTAATGCATATAGTAAAAAATTTCCAAGGGCGAACTCACCCATTGTAAGGATCAAGGTTTAGAAGGATTGGGATAGTAACCAGCCCTGTAAATAAAGTATGCATTAAATGTGTGTTGACTTTTCTTGATACTGTTTATCAACTTGATAATTTCTTATACAAATCACCATGCCTTCTTCAAAATTCCTCTCCCTAAATGTTGTCAAATTGATTGCCCTAAGCCATGCTGTAATCCGATTTCCCTAAACATAAACGAAAAATATATATTACATGAAAATATTAAATATGAAATTTCGAAAAAAACAAATAAATAAATGAATTGGACTTACAGTTTTATCATGCAACACTAATTCAAGATACGACTTGTACGTGTTGCCCCAATCTTGGAAAAGCATTCGCACAATTCTAACCTTAAGCATAGGTCTATTAGACCTATTAACTTCTTCAACTAATCCAAATCCTTTATTCATTGTTGTAGATGACAAACTGGTATGTTTTTTGATTTTTCGCTGCCTGCAATAGAGAATACGTTGATTGAGTATTTGAAGATTGTTATTTTATAATTGTTTTATTGAAATATATGTAGAGATTATTTGTAGATATAATATTTCAGCTGTAAGTAAATTAAATCAAATAATTAGCTTAGTAATAAATCAGAAAAGATATTTATCTTATAATTTAAAACGTGAAATATCTTTTCATTTGCCAAGGAGATACGTATGTTGAACTATTTTTATTTTCTTTTTTAAATAAATATAATTATAAATTTTTCCTTGCATAATACTATAAGACGCGTTATTTATCTTAGTTGTAAATCTATTTTTATTTGTGAAAGAGAGAGCGTGATTTATTTCCTTAATAATATGGAATTTTAGAAACAAAGAAATCTGAGATAAAATAAAAATACACGCTCAACTTGAAAAAAAAAAAAGATAAGAACAAATTTGTGATTAAATATTTCCATA